CAGCACATTCCTTGGGTGAATCCTGCCCGGAGGAGTGAAGTGAGTGCGTGAAAACCGGGAGGATCTCCTCTCTCTGCTTCTGTTTGCTGAATTTTGTGTCTTTAGAAAATTCTCCCACCCCTTCTGTTGGACATTCCTTGCTTCTCCAGCTGGAAAATGCAGATGTTCACTGAGAACTTCAATTTTCTGCCCTGCAAAGGGCAGCTCCTGGGAGGGTGTGGAGAGACACAAAGCAACTGAAAGAACAAAACACGCAGGGGAAGGAAAATTGGGTGAAAAAACCCCAAGGTTCAAGAGAAACCTTTTGGTTTTAATCAGCCATCAGACTGTACCTGGCCTTTCACACCTGCTCCTTTCTAGACTCAGGCACCTGCAACTGATCCTCCAGGAAAGAAATCTGATGGAAATCAAAATGAAAGAAAATGATGACTGTGTTGGAACTGGATTGTAACAGAAATTGCAGGCTCTGCCCTCATTAGGAGCAAACTGGATATTAATGTAGGAAAAGCAGCACACTTTGCATGGAAAACATCTCCATGATCAAAGATCTGTTTTATATAATTTGCTTCCTTGATTATACAAGGAACTACATGTAAAAATATAGTTTTGCTTTACAGAAGAATTCACATTAAAGGCTTCCCCTGCTCATCTCCTTCAGTTCCCACCTACCCTGATCAATGCATCCCTCCTCACTGCAAGTGTTCATCACTGGCTCAAACTGAAAGCCAAAATAGGGGAAATCTGTGAACAACAGCAAAAACCTGGGTAGTGAATAATCCTAGCAGTTTGCAACACCTCAAATTAAACCTGGCATCACTTTTCTATCAGATATCTTAATAATATGCATAAATAGGCTTTTCTGGAAGGCCAACGTTTTCTAACAGCCCAACCAGAACAAGACATCAGAGCTGGCATTCAACAGATGCAAACACCTGGCACTGTCACCCCTGGACAAAATGATGATGATGGACAAAATGATGAGAGCTCAGACTGGCAGCTGATTATCACCATCCCCCTCCTCCTCTTGTTGATCCTTCACCACTCAGAAGTCAGATTCTTGTCTCCCACCCTCCCCAAGCGGAGAGAGCTCTTTTCTACCCCTGTGTGCTTTAAATACCCCATCATCAGTAGGACAGCTATAATGAAGCAATAATGAAGTTATGCTGTTGTGAATGACTGCAGGTTCCTCACTGCTGTGTAAACATAAAGGGGATGAGTCAAAGGACACTTCCAGTGTCTGAATAAATCCACAGGAACTTGGAGATGCTTGGAAATGTTTTCTCCCAAACAGAATCCATGCCCAGTTTTGTGAAAAAGAATTTATGAGATAATTTTTAACCACCTGGTACCACAATTAAGTGTACTTTTAAGTTTCACATGAGTATTTAAAAGCAGGGAATCAGCTATTTCCAGGTAATTATGAGATGAAAACACAAATGTCATAAACCAACAAATTCTCTATCAGCATGCAAAGGGTGCTAAAGAAAGCAAGGACAATTTTAATAAACCCATACAATTGATGCTAGTATCATTTAAAAAAACCTACAATTCATAACGCTTCAAGAATCAAAGCTTATACAAAATTTAATATTTATGTGGGCACTCACAGAAAGTTTGGGGGAATTATACATATATATATACATATATACATACATACATATATATATATATATATGTATCTCCTTTGACCATCCCTGGGCACATCTCTTCCCCCTATAAAAAGTGATTTCAGGAGAGTTGTATTGACATTGCTGCTCAGACTCATTAGGGCTCTATCAAATTTGAATTTTGAGTAAAATTCAGTGCTACCTCTCGATGCTGTTGTGCAATTCTGGTGACATCATTGACAGTTTTGAAGGGAAGAAAGAGTCTGTCAAGTTTCTGTTCTGATCAGACCATTTTGGGAATGAATTAAATAATTTGGAAAACATCAGCAATAGCTGTCTGACTATATGTCTGCTTAAAAATTCTGTACTGAAATCCAGCCTCTTAAAATAAATATGGACCCATGGGATTTGTTCATTGATTCCCTTTTATTGTTACTTTTATAAAAATTAAATGGTATCATCATGATTTAATGTTAGGGGTTTTTTTTAATTATATATTTTTTTGGATTATTTGGTTTTAAAGTCCTCCTTCATTGGAAAAGGCACCTTGTTCCCCAAATTCAAGTCAAATAGAACTGACACCTCAGAGAAAAAAAAGACAGAAATCCATAAAACGACAGTAAGCTAAAATGGAATGTAATTTCAGCATGACAGTTTTATACAGCAAGCCCAGGCTTCGAGGTGATGGTACTCAACAGGAAATAATCATGATAATCAAGTAAAACATTGGTGCATCTACCAGAATCGTGGTATGTATATCTTTATTACAGTTTTCAGAATACATGGATTAACAATGGCCAGGCTGTGATTTCATCAAATTCCTATTTTAAACATTACATACAAACACAGAGCTGTTTAAAAAATAGAAATGCATGAGTTTTGTCACCTTTTTTTTTTTTTAATCTTTTTTTTTTTTCTTTTTTTTTTTTTTTTTTTTTTTGGCATCA